GAGGTTCCACTTTACATACAATTATTGCCTGCATGTATGTGTAATTTTTAATTTTGTTATAGTATTTTCTTTGAGTGTAATGGTATGCTCTGTACCTTCTAACTTTGTTTCTGGGTTGTTTCTTTTCCTAACCATGAAAAATGAACAGTCATTTTACTTTGATAAGAAAGATAAAGAGAAAAAATCTGTAAGTTCAACAAGATTGATGTGTCATAAAGTTTGCTTTCAGGCAAGAGAAAGCATTTTGAGTAGTAGTCCTGCTTATAGATGACTTAGTGTGGCAATTACCTTATCTTCTCTAAGCATATTTACTCTTGAAAATCATGTTTATCATGTAAATGAAGGGTTCTCTTGCTTTTGTCATTTGTTCATTATTGTACCTAAATGTACGCAGAATGTAATCTAACTAGAAACTCATAAATTTATAAACCTCTTTCCCTTTTCTGGAATAATTTGGAATGGCGGAAATGTTGAAAATGAAGTACACTAGTTTTGGCATGCCGTTTTATAAGATTGCTTCAAGATATCAATCAATAATATTATGATTGATTTGTTTCAGGATCATGATGACCCTCTTGCCAAGACTCACTTTGTTGCTGAGGGTGAGGTGACCTTCCGTTCTATCCTTTATGTACCAAAATCAGCCCCTCACAACCTCTTCTCTGAGTACGGCAAGAAAATGGACCAGATCAAGCTGTATGTGCGACGTGTCTTTATCACTGACAACTTTGAGGACATGATGCCCAAGTACCTTTCCTTCATCCGTGGTGTTGTAGACTCTGATGATCTGCCACTGAATGTCAGTCGTGAAACTCTTCAACAGCACAAATTGTTGAAGGTTATCAAGAAGAAGCTTGTGCGAAAGGCTCTAGACATGATCAAGAAAATCCCCAAGGAAGACTACATGGATAAATTCTGGAAAGAATTCAGTACAAGGTATTTTTGCATTAGATGACTTTTATCCATCTTTTTATAGGGTTGGGCAAGGAATGGAGATGCTTGGGAAGTTTGGTAAGGGTTTTGCTGTAGAGCACATTGTCAGACAAACGTTTTTCAAGTACAGTGTAGTATTGTCCAGGGAAGGGGCTTTCTTCTCTGGCAAATGATTAAATCAGCTAACACTTTCATCTAGTAATGGTATTATTTTATAAAAGAGCTAATGTCTGTTTCTTGTATAGCATCAAGTTGGGTGTAATGGAGGACCACTCCAACAGAACTCGATTGGCCAAACTACTGCGATTCTATTCCTCCAACTCTGAGAAAGAAATGACAAGCTTGGCTGATTATATTGAGAGGATGAAGGAGAAGCAAGAGGCTATTTACTTCATGGCAGGAACTAGCCGTAAGGAGGTGAGACTCAGCTAAAAAATAGAAAGTACATCCCATAGGAAGACAATTTCTGTGCTTAGTATAACAGTAGTTTCCTGTTCCCCTTAGATATCATATGCCACCTTTATTTGTTTCACCAGTATAACTTATACCTTCACTTTTTTACAAATGTAGGTTGAGACCTCGCCATTTGTGGAAAAACTCCTGAAGAAGGGTTATGAGGTGTTGTACTTGATAGAGCCAGTTGATGAATACTGCATCCAGAGCTTGCCAGAGTTTGAAGGAAAGAAATTCCAAAATGTTGCCAAAGAAGGGCTGAAGATTGGAGAAGATTCTGAGAAACAGAAAAAGAAGCAGGCAGCTCTGGAGAGCACATATGAGCCTCTGCTGAAATGGCTGAAGGAAGATGCCCTCAAGGATCTGATTGAAAAGGCAGCTGTCTCTCAGCGTTTGGATGAGTCACCCTGTGCCCTTGTAGCCAGCTCATATGGCTGGTCTGGTAACATGGAGAGGATAATGAGATCTCAGGCCTATGCCAAGAGCGGTGACCCCAGTAATGAGTAAGTGCAACACTATCTATCAGGAGTACTCAGGCCTAAAAAAAAACTTGAATTGCCCTTTGGACAAGCAGCTCTCAGCTTTTGCTTGCCCTAGGCAAGTCTTAGTTTGCTCTTTTTGTAATTTAGTTGGAGAAGACTTGCTCAAGCCCTTGGATGGCACTTTTTTTGAGCCATGTACTACTTGCATTACAGTATATGCAGTCAGGGCATTTGTTAAGTCACAAAGTCAAACTTTAGGGTTAATGGAGGATGACCAGTTTTTTTTTAGCATTAGTATACATCAAAGAGTCAACTGTTAGTTTCTCGCTACTTCCCTTTCCCATGCGCTGAGGATCCCACTTAGCACGTGTTAGTAAAAAGTAGCAAGATAGAACTGGTGCTGATCATAAAGAACAACTTAAGAGTTATTGATTGAGTTGGTCTTATTGTCAATGCCAACATTGTACTTAGTCTCTCAAAGAAGTCCAGCCAAGATAATTTATTTTAAAATTAATGGTTTCCAAAGTGTATCTATCAATCCAGTTTTTATAAATTTAAGGTGGGCAAAACTTGGCTATGGGTTATTTTGCATTGCATTTCTCATTTTCCAAACTTCCAATCACATCCTACACAAAGTGTACCCCAAAACATGGAATGAACTTCTTGAAAATAGATTCCACTTTACAAAGAATGGTGCTAAATGAAGAAATGTGTTTACATTTGGGGTTATAAACTTGATTTTTTTAAAAGTGCTTTACTAGTTATCCTAACTGTCTGTTTGGTTTTCTTTACTAGATACTATGCCAACCAGAAGAAGACCCTTGAAGTGAACCCCAGACATCCATTGGTCAAAGAGCTGCTCAAAAGAGTGGAGACAGACAAAGAAGACAAAACTGCTAAAGATCTTGCTCGTGTGCTCTTTGAAACTGCTACTTTGAGATCAGGGTACTTAATCAAAGTGAGTTTGACTTTATGAATGTTGCTCTTTGCAAATTCTCTTAGGGTTTGTCGCCTGGACTGCAGCTTTAATGGGCAAGAATTACATAACTTGCAGGCTTCGTTTGTTAGCTAGCAAATGATTTTCAATTGTGCAAGTTTGTTCGGTCCACTGATGCCGGTAAAATTCATTTTCCGGATGTTATTAAAAGAAAAGCCATGCCTGTGCTATACACCTGTAACTCAGTGTTAACCTCAGGGCTTGTGATTAGGGTGGACTGAATTTTTCGGCTCGGAATGGTTATAACCAGGACTAGGTATGCATGCAGATCTTGTCCAAAGGTTACCTTCATTTTGTAAATCGAGTCTTCTTTGTAGTGCACTCTACAGAGAGCTTCAGACGTCTCTATACATTTGTGTTGACTAATGTACAGTGAGCGATCAGCGTGTCTTTGTAGCGAGCTTCACACGATCAACCTTTTTACGTTTTCAGGACTCCCAAGACTTCGCTGGACGTATCGAGCGCATGCTCCGTCTTAGCATGGGAGTAGACCTGGAAGCCATGGTGGAACCAGAGGAGGAAGAAGCTGAGGAGAAGGAGGAGGAGGAAGACAAAGATGGAGAAGAGGTAGATGCAGAGGGAGACAAAGAAGATGAGAAGACGGAAGAGGAATCTGCTACTGCGGAGGAGGCAGTGACGGAAGGAGAGACTAAACCGGATGAGAAAGAAGATGAAGTGGAGGTAAACACTCGATATTGACTCCTTGCCCTTCAGGAAGCTGGCACAGCAAAGTTAAACATTGACCCCTCTTTTCTTTGAGAGATTCGTCCTCCCTCAGTTCTGTAAGGTGACAACCAATAGTTCCATTACCACTTCCTTGGGTTGATAGCCTACAAAGAACAATGCCCTCTTCGAGCCTTAAAATTCCAGGTGATCTGAGACAATTTTCTCCCTACAATACGAAGCCACTGTCTAGCAGACAAGTGACGAGAATATAGAAAATAGTCAAGTGAGGGGTTTTAGCCTGTAACTCTCATTGAATCATTTTCATTTTGGGTTTGACAAGGGTTTATTTGCCGCAGAGAATTAACTGCCAGGTTAATTTCTGTTTCTCTTCAGGGTGAATCGAAAGAGGCCCCAGCAGAACCGAAAGACGAGCTTTAACAACCCAAGAACACTTTAGAATTTTGATAGACTTTATATTCTGGTGCGTTCACGTTGCGATGTTTGTCTTCCACGGTTGTACAAAAATAAGACGGCCAAAGAACTTCCTGGATCGAGAAGTATTTATAAGAAAGACGCCCAATTCGCAGGATAAAATATGCTTGAAGTGCCCTCTGGAAGCTGTTTCTTCTGTTTCAAACCTGCACTAGTCACCTAGAACTTAATGTAATGCCCTTCCCATTTAAAATAGCCAATATTGAAATATAAGCAGCTTTAGAAGAGGCATTTCTCAGTGGATCTTGGAAACTTTCGCTTGAATTTTATTCTGAAAACTTAACCAGGGCCTCCGGAACATGGCTGTCCAATAAATTGCATTCTTACAAAGAAAAGTTTTAGGCGAGGTTAATAAAAATATCATTTATAGTACAATGTAGTTTTTGTTCTCATTAATAAATATAATAACTTTTGCTAAATGATTAAAAAAAACTGTATATCAGTTTACAAACATTAACGTCATTTACGATCACGTACGCTAACATCACCCAAGCGTGCGGTTGGCAGAAAGATCTTTCAAGCAAGTGAAACCCTCGCTTGGTGTTGAATGTCTAACACGATTTTCGGTAGGTGTCAGCGTTCGAATTTCCTTCAAGCGTTTACAGTGAAGCATCTCGTATTTTAATTGAGAACATCAAAATTCGCTGAGGCGCTTCACAGAGACCGCTCTGAAAAAACAGATTTTCGATCGTAACCTGCCGTAATAGAAACAGTCCACGATACAGTGGTTTGAAACTTTCGCCGACCAGGAAATCTATTTAGAGTGCTTGTGACGTCACTGATATCTTCCTTATATGGAGAGGGACTAATTGTGTCCAACTATAGGCCTTCAAACTATTTTGTCGCAACAAGTTTGGAATACTCTAATTAAGTAAACTTCGGGGCGGAATCGTCGCCTCTGAATTGCGGATTCTTAGCGACGAGGCAAGGATACTTTCGCACTTCTCGCTTCGCTGACAAAAACTGCGCCTAGACAATAACTGATCTGGGACAACCGTTCTACGATGTACTTGCTTGGCGGAAATCAAGATTTCGAGAAGATGTCTTCGTTAAAGGGCGACTTCTAAGGCCGTCCAATGCAAGTAACTCTTGGTCTTTCGCAGTTCCTTTGCCACTAAATTTTGCGCCCACATCGACTGTTTCCAACGACATCAGGGCACGCCTGATTGTCTTGGTGTCTGTGTGATAGACGCCCTGTTTTGCTGTGTTTATGTCCAGTGCACGCTGGAAAAGCAGCTTGGCTTCTCTCGTGGCATCTTTGGTGCCCTTGGATTGAAGTAGTTTACCTGGTAATTGAAGAGACGAGTCAGAAAAAAAAAGCATTTTCATGGGGAAATAATTCATCTGCACAAGTTCCGCAATAGACTTCCAGGTTTTTCGCTGTTGTAGGTATTCTCAGCTTTCGCTCCTGCACTTTACGCTCTCCGCAATCGGGTTGTTAACGTCGTAAATATTTCTCCCGCTCCGAGCTCGACCTAGATCTAAAGAAGGCAAACTACTTGTGTGCTCAGAATCTAGAACGGAACCTGCGTTTACTTGTTCCATTGTTAGTATGCTTGTTCATGACAAGGCTAGCAAAATTAGCGCCATAATACATCGGGGGGAAGTGGGAGACTCGCGAATATTTGTTGTCGGATCATTTCCGAGCCAACTTCTATGCTTCGTAAGCCCTCGGGCAACGTTCGGGAACTGCTTCAGTGTATTCTACGAAAACTGCCCCATGTGTAAACCAATCAAAATTAAGGAATATGCCCTCAATTATACAAGCTATATCAAAACACTCTCTATACTGACCTAACTTGAACAACGTATTTGCAACAAGCAAATGAGACGGACCCAAGAGATCTTCACGCATGCTCAATGCACGGCGAAACATTTCCTCCGCCACTGTGACATCCGGGGACTCTGCAGCGTCTGAACACGAGAGCGAGGCCAGCGCGTCATAAATCTCCGCCACCAGAGGATGAGAAGACCCGTACCATTCCTCTCTCATCTCCAACGATTTGCGAAACAAAGACTCGGCGTCTTCGCAGCGTTTTTGTTTTGCCGCTAACAAACCCATGCGAAAATAAACGCTGCTCTGGCCTAAACGAAGAGAAAAAGAGAAAGACGAGATATAGGATAACACGGCCTTTTCAACAGTATGCCAAGGGGATCAGTTAAGCTTCCCGATGTAAAGAGCTCGCAGTGTTTTGAAGACAAGTTGTAACTTCTTTGAGTTCGAATTATTTGTTTTTAACCTTCTGTCACTAAAAGCTGGCAATGAACAGGGCTACAGGTTTTTTCTTTTTCAAAGTTACACAAATTGGACCAGGGAAGCAATTCTCTAACATAACGGTAGCGTTGCGAAGAAGGGAAAGATTTTCTATTATAAATTTTCGAGAAAGCAGTGTTGGCCATCTTGATAAAAGGAGCTCAGTCACAGCATTCTTAGTTAGCCAAGTGCAAAATTACCTTTAAATTAAAGGAAACCCTAAGGTAATAGTTTTCTAAGATAGAAAAACACCAAGAGATAAAAAATAAACGATAAAGGAACAAGGATGGTTCAGGATGGAGAAGATTAACACGGATTACAAACGACGAATTTGAAAAATTGAGGCTAAACTTTTCAAGATGCGCTAACCGTGACGTAGCTCCTTTACAGAATACGAGTGTAACATGGCTTATTTGCTTGGAATTGATAACAGCCAGGAGTTTATGTCAGGTACTTACCAGGAAACTGTTGGGCAAGTTTCATGTGCTTCATTGCGTCATCCAAAATAGTGCCGACGTTATCCGAGCCTGTCTCCTCTGTTTTATCTTTAACCGAGGTTGGCGTTTTCACTCTTCCGCTCCTTGCAGAAGCACGTGATCGACTCACTACTTCCGGTGGAAGTGACACGTGACTTGGCAGTTGACATAGAGCGATGTGATTCAAGAGGCGGCCAATCATAGCCGCGTGTTCAACCTGGAACCCAACAGAATGCAACTTAGAAAGGATCACATAAGATAGCAATAAACAAAATCTAGAAAACGAGACTTTAAGGATCGTTTCACTGTTCGGAATGCATTGTCCTAAAGCAACAGGGATCTCGATTTTTTGGCGGATTCGAAGGTCCACATTGGGCAATCATCGATTTGGCCTAAAGTGGACTCATCAAAGACGTTGTTTATCCGTCAAGCCTCTGAACAGAGCCCTAGTGTGTGACCATTCAAATGAAAACTATTGAGCAGTACTTTCGTGTGGTACTATTTACTATGCTCTACAAGGTTTTAACGTTCAAGTCTGTGAACAACACCTTAGTGTGTGACCAATATGACTTGAACTTTCATGTACAAAGGATTCCAATTTTACATGCAGCCAGTAGGTCTGTGGAGGAAGCCCCACAGCGTGTGACAATTCAAATGGAAGCTCTTATTGACCTTATTAATAGTACTTTCATGTGGTGGTATTTTATTTTCTCTGTTTCTCAAATCGAAATTTGTATTTACAATGGTAATTGAACTGGAGTGCAATTTGGTCTGAAATCATGCTGACATCAGAAATATGATTTCAGACCGAAAGTTGTACGACACGAAGTTCAACTGTCACTTTTATTATTATTACCTCCATTTTGAAATCGCACAATTTAATCCCTCAAATACAGGATTTTGGTCATTACCAATATTTTATTGATCCAGAGCCGGTTTGTTGAAAAAGCAGAACCGGAAACGCTTTTACATGTCATTTTGTACGCAGAACAGAAAAAGATGCGATTAAGCGAAAAAAATAGTGCGATTCGTGAATTAATCGCACTGCTGAGAACCAATCCGATTGCAAGGACCACCAGTGATTTCAAAACGGAAGTAATAAAGTTAGTGGGTTTAATATCACTAAAGCGCCTTAACGTGTCAGAAACACGTCATACCGTGTCAAAAGACGCCTTATCGTGTCAGAAACACGACTTACCGTGTCAGAAACACGCGTCATTTCTGCTACAGATTTCAAGGCACCATTAAACCAATACACCGCTATATTCGGCTCAGATAGTTTGAGATACAAATTCCCCAATGACTCCTGTATATCACAGAGCAAGTAAATGTCCTTTACTGAAACAACAGGATATGCCATATTGTAAGCGTTCAAGAGGAGATTCTGGGCCATAACATCATGCCCATTTTCCGCCAGAAAGTTTCCTGAAAAGTAGTGAACAAGCGCTACTTCAAGTTGAGAAAATTCCTCGTCGCTGCTCTTACGGCACAACTCGTCAACGGCCGAGAATTCTCTGGTTTTTGAAGAAGCAGATCTGACGTCTCGTTCTGTTGTTTCCTTTGATTCGCTTTGTAATCTCTCTTCGGCCTTAATGGCCATTTGATAGAGAATCTCTTCAGGTTTACGGTTTGCCTGCTTCAAAACACTCCAGTATGACAACAGATCGATCCTTCGTCGTTGCTCGCTTTTCAAACTCACGAGCTTTATAAACACTCTCGGTTCACAAATTGTTTTGCTCAGTGCGTCCATGTTTCCACTCATCTCCAGTTGCCATGGTAACTCGTCCACCATGCGCCCGGATGAAGGTTGTTTGGAAAAGAAACTTGAGAGCACAGTGTGACCCTGTTGCTTCTGTCGTTCCCAGTTCTCTTGAAATGCGGGTGAAACCGCGCGTTCTTGGGACGGAGAGGTGAGGTTACCCAGCAACGCAATTTCCACGGTACCGCGGACAGACTGGTGCGGAAAGGTAAACAACCCAGACGGCATTTCGATGAGCGCATGCTCCGCGATCAAACGAAGCATTTCCCAATGCGCCTTGGTCACCTCGTAGTTCTTTATGTAGCCCATGACTTGGAGAGCGCCTAGAGCCTCGCTTTCAGATAATCCCTCACGTGACAGAGCAAAGAGCCTCAGCACATCAGCCACCCAGCCACTGTTCATACGATCACGTGATACCTGCGCCTTAATGGCGGGAACAGGGCTGCGCGAAACCGCTGGGCGCAACCAGCCGTATTCATGAGTCCAACGACGAAATATCAAGCTCCACAGATCGAAGAGAGTCGGCGCATGAACGTACGACTCTAGCAACCTGTCCGCGTTCTTGTGCGCGCCCAAAACACGCAACTCACAGGAAAGGGCGACGTAAAACAAGGGAAGGTGTGCCAGATTGGAAGAAGTTATCCTTGACAACCGGGTCGCGTCCAAGAACTTGTAGTTGGAGCCAACATACTCTTTCAGAAGATCATTCTTGCCTCTAACATCAAACAGCCGGGGCATGTCAATACAATAGGCATCCCTCCTTTGTGACAGTGCGCGGTAAGTGATGTCCGCTCTGGTCGTGGTGACGATGATTCTGCAGGAGACTGGGACTGAGGACGGCAGCCATTGCATCTCCTTGACTTTAAACGCGGCAACATCTAAAGCGTGTCCCAAATGATCGACCCCGTCCAAGACGATTACAGAAGGACCTAAGGAGATGGCCGCTCTGAACGCTTCCACCACTCGAGTGAAGTCGCTCAGGTCTTGGTTGTCCGCGAGGTCATCGACGTCAGAATCAAGATACTGAAGCCGTAGTTCGCTTGTACAGCGGCGCATGAAGTTAGCAATGTCACTACTGCCCGAGTCGCAGCCGACAAAGTGGGGAATGGTGACGACCTGGGGATAGCTTGAGGTCAACTGTTTCAGCCAATGAGCCACGAGGGTAGATTTACCACAGCCGCTCTCACCTGAGAAACAGAAAGAAGCAAGCAGTAGTCTGAAATACAGGTGGGAAATGACACAAAACAAGCTACGAATACATCCTTTCGACTATAAATTAAAGAAAGTTTCTATAAAGAAAACGAGAAAATAAAGAACTTGTATGCTCACAGCTGAAAAAAAGAAGGCTTGAAAAAGTTACCAGAAGCCGCCAAACAACTTCTAATGATGCACATAAAAGATTCAATTTATGTACCGCTTGTTTTGCTACCTCATGGAAAGACCAACCGAAGTAGCGCTATGAAATGTCTGAAAGGTCTAAAAGCAACGAAGATCTTTAATTTCAGAATTTTACAGGTAGTATTTATTGTAATATGAACAACATTGAAACAATCAGAGTTCAGTCGAGCCAGGCCTATTTTCTTCGAGTCTTCAAATCACTATACAATTGATCATGTAACTCCCTTCCACAGGCCTTTCCAGGAAGACTGGCAACTCAAACGTGGACGAAACGCCACTATTTGTAGCCGTCAAGGTATCTTTTAGGATCTTTTAGGGTTGCTTCCGATTAGAAGTAATAAAACCTGCTGTTATGTCCGTTTTAAAGTGGCATCTTTTAGGGGTCAAATAAAGCTCGCGTCACGCCCAAATTGGTCTCTTTTTGGGGTATAATTCAAATTTTCCGCCGCGCATCCTCAACCTTTTCACGTAGGAGTCTCCCAGGGGGTTCAACGTCCAGGGGACAGGGACTCCCATATAAAAAGGACGGGGGTGCCTGTCGGACATTTTGAAAAGAACCCATAAGAGGTACTAAGATCCTGTTCTGTGGGCGTGGCTAGAAATTTTTATCATCCCTAAGAGGTGCTAATTCTAAAACAACACATAATCCCCTGTTATGTTTTTTTCCGACATAATACCCTAAATGATACCGGAAAAGCTCCAGCCGTGGACCTTTTGAGGCTGAACACCCTAAGACTAAAGAGGCAACAAAACCGCTTTTTAAAAGGGATGACGAACAACTCAGTCCTTTTTATCTGTGAGTCCTTCCCCGGGGGGTTCAATGGTAGATCTTCTGCACACACATACCAGCTATCACCAACACAGGGGGCAATGTTTCCTTGTCACTGCCAGGAAGACTGGTCATAAAAGTGCCTAACACCGCAGCTGGTACCACCATGCTTGTCTTTCTTCTAATTCCCTGGTCCACTTCAGCATGAACGCTTAGCACCTCAAGCATCTCTCTTATCCTTGGTGTCTTGACGAAGACTTGGCGTCGCGCCATTGCAAATGCCTCATGAGCGGACCACTGACGGAAGACTTCTGACTCTGTGCTGGAGAATACGAGTGGATTGATTGGAGGGTACAGCAAGTCAATAACTGCAGCCCAGTCTTTAATCAACAGGTCTCCAAGCTGTTCCAGGGTGGTAAAATGACGCACAGGCAACTCTGATATGAAAAAGAGAAATATATACCAGTTTGTCTTGCTGACTTGCATTTCTTTGAGGAAATTTCTATAGAAATAGTAGAAGTGGCAAAAAGACAGACCAAGCAAGATTTTCATTAACGTTTTCAGCAGAAGGGCAACTGGTTTTCACAGGTGGGCAAAACTTTTTGAACTGAACTTCTTTATAAGAAAAACTTTCCTCCAGATGGTCAAACCAGGTGAGCAAAACCATTCTCTCAGCCACTCAATTTGTCTGGTGCCCACAGTGCCACGTCAGTTATATGAAATGGTTTCCAGTCCTTTTGAGCCCATTTTAGTTTAGAAATTTAAGGTGGCTCTGAAACCCTTCTGATGACTTTTAAACCTTGAAACAAGTTTTGTCTAAATACTCAGCCCCCAAGAAATTCACCCCCTCCCAAAAACAGAAACATTAATTATGGCCCAGAATAATTCTCCCACATCCAACCAATGACCTTACAATCAACACATCAGTTATTCAAGACTGGGTTACAAACCTGTGTCGATGGTCTGCTGTTTAAGTTCTCTTAGTTTCCTTGCAGCATATTCACTCTCAGGTTTATAAATAGACAAAATACTGTCTTGCTGGCAGGGCTCGACATCCTGAAGCTTTTCTTCCACATGGGCGGAGTTGCGGAAATAGAAGTAACCATAGTCATATTTCCTACGGAAGGAAGCCTGCACAATTTCCAACTCAGTGATGCTGTTATATCTAGAATGCAAAATGACCCAAGATAATAACCGTGATCAACATTTTATTAATCAGTTATACAAAAATAACTTATTAGCGGAGCACCATAACTATAGGAACAGAATCAGATGCATGTATAGAAATAGAAACCCATGCAACTCTTTTCTCATGGTCAACATGGCCAACAGCATGGATCGCGGGCGCATGCGCCCAACAACGACGACGACATCGCACTACATGGCGGCCATACTACAGCTAATACCAAGTCATGCAGCCTTGGTTTACAGCATGCATATTGGACATCCATGTTATGGTTAATTGACACCTATCAAAATAGGGTATCCACTGACCAGTATCACGTGACCACATCACTGGCTCAAGTTTAGAGCTCATCGAGATCACAGGTTTTTTTTAAAGTTGACCGCTGACCAAGTGCTGGTTTTTGGATTGGATCGCAAGCTCATGTTTGGTTAACTTGTTGTAATCAAGGCTGGATTGTTCAGTGAACAGTGAACACTTACAATTTGTGGAGAGACTCCAAAGCACAACCAACAGTGAACTTCTCTTAACCTGGGGTCTTTTGTTTTGTGTACTTTGAGATTATAGAAAGCCAAACAAAAAACAGAAAATCTCTCCGCAAAGTTACAAAACTCAAATGAGACTTTTCAGGCTTTGAAAAACCCGGTCCCATAGCTCCACTTTTAGGCTTGGCTAAATCTATATATCATATTGTATGTTGTACAGTGCCAATAAAACGTATGATTTGGTAAAATATCCTACTGTTATGTAGTTGAGATGAGAACTTTGGCATTACAGGAGTTCTGGTTTTTGAGCCAATTTGGTCTGAAATAAATAGGTAGTCAGGAGTATACATGAACGTTTTGACCATTTAGGTATGAAATAAGTTGTGCCTGGTTTAGTCTGGTCATTAATTTTGTAAACTATCTCAGTTTATCGTTGTTGTCATTCATGTCTTGAAACTTTATATGTCTGGTCTGAAATAGTGTAATGAGTTTTGGGCCAGGTCTCAAATAGGCTATGTAAGCAGACATACACAATGCATTGTGTTGTTCCAGAAAACATCTACATCCTGCCCATGAACTGCACCCCTATCCCTCTGGAAATTCCAGTTTTGGTTGATACTATCTTAAAAAACTTTGGCTTTGAGATCCCCAGGGTGGGTATAAATATACTCTGAAACCACACTTTGGGTCTGAAAGAGGGTAAGTTCACCTAACCTTAAGCTGTCTGTCAATTTCTAGACAGCTACTGTGCTGTGGCCAATCAGATAGCAATTACTAGAGACAATTTCATGGCCTCTTTGAGGGAGAGATAATAACCTTGTGTTCATCATGTGATATGTGAATTAAAATCACCACATGTTCTCCTCTTCAAGAACCCAAGAATGCTTGCTAACAGATTATATATGTTTGTGTACAGTACTTCCCAACTTTATCCTTACAGTTAACCAAGGGATCAATTCCAGGGAATGCTGGTGATCTATGTGCATAAAACCATATCTGTTCTTGTCTTCAACATATCCCTATGGTTACCCCGTGGATGGTTCCCTGGGGGAAGACTGGTGGTAATGTCTAATGGTATAAAAAGCCCCTCATGTTCTCCTCTTCAAAAACCTAAGAATGCTTGCTCGCAGACTATGTTTGACCATATTTGTGTACCTGTGTACAGTACTTTCCAACATATCCCTACGGTTAACCCCAGGGATCAATCCTAGGGGGAGAGCCGGTGATATACGGGATATGTGCATGAAGCACCTACCTGTTTTCCTCTTCAAGCACCCAGTCGTACCCACATGCTGCAGCCGTCTCGAAGTTTCTGTCCAACCATTCCTCTGTAGCGGGGTCCTTCTCTTCCGACTCAGCAGCCCGATGGACCCCGTACCTGTCCCCTAGCAAGCAAATGAAAAACGGAGCACACCTACCGATACTATCCAAACACACGCGGAGAACATGTTCGTTATTTTGTTGAGATTGACTCTTGTTCCAACGTAAATCTACGGGAATGAAAGAAGTTCCTCGCTCTTTGCATATTCTGTTCAGCTGAGGGAATATCCTCTCTTGCAAGAAGTCTCGCTCGGTGTGGAAATCTCTGAACGTGGAACACACGAAAGGACGAATTATCTGTCTTCGCGCTGCCTCACTTCTCGCCGAGGGCAAACTCGATCCGTCTCGCAGTTTCGGCATCGATCGCGAGAAAATCACTCCTAATCAAAACTATCGTATCACTGCTGTTTAGATGAATAGGAAGTATTTACAAAAACGACCTTAAACGACTTTATCATGAGTCAATAACTGCGTTCTCGATTGGCGGTCTTTGTTCCCACGAAAACATAACAAGCTCCAGGAGCAACGAGAATATGCTAATTGCAGCAGAGAGAAGTCTGGGTACTAGCCAAACCAAAACACGGACGGGGGAGGGTGGAGTGTTAACTCGAAAAAAATAAAAAAAATAAAAACTTTTTTTTTTGACGTACTTTCACTAATTTGGTCTCTAGAAGGATTTTTAACAATCACTCACAGAAGTTGGTCACCAGTTCATTTACGAGCCTTTTTTTCTTTCAAAAACTGGGAGATATTTTGGTTAGACCTCACCCCGACGGGGGAGAATGGACCTGATAGGCTTGGCTACGCAGCAGTAACCTGACAGCGCCAAGATTCACTTCTCCTGTTGAAGTTCTGTAAGGTTTATGCCGGTTTATGAAATGAAATCACGCTTCTTTCTCCCTGTGAGGCCGATGATTACTAGGGTTTGGCGTTCTGCTGCGGGTCTTCTATTACTGTTCAAAGACTGGTTTTGTGAGGTACAGTTGAAAGAGGAAAAAGTGATGTGATCTAAAATGACAGTCACGAAACACTGAGAAAAAAATCAAGATCGCAGACGACAGTGTGGTATGTGAACTTTCATACCTACATAAGCTTACTATTATTTTGACAAAGCATTTTGCGAGAAATTTCTGTTCATGTCTGTTGGGAGATCATTGTTAGTGCCGGGACTGATAG